ATACCAAAACCCGGCAGAGACCCAGCGAGAAAAGAAAACTTCAGGCCAATATCCATGATGAACATAGATGCAAAAATCTTCAATAAAATATTGGCAAGCCGATTGCAACAGCAAATCAAAAAACTTATTCATCATGATCAAGTAGGATTCATCCCGGGGATGCAAGGCTGGTTCAACATACGCAAGTCTATCAACGTAATTCACCACATAAACAGAACCAAAAACAAAAACCACATGATTATCTCAATTGACGCAGAGAAGGCATTTGACAAAATTCAACAGCCCATTAAGCTAAAAACCCTCAATAAACTCGGTATCGATGGAACGTATCTCAAAGTAATAAAAGCTATTTATGACAAACCAACAGCCAATATCATACTGAATGGGCAAAAACTGGAAGCATTCCCTTTGAAATCTGGCAATAGACAAGGATGCCCTCTCTCACCACTCCTATTCAATATAGTACTGGAAGTTCTAGCCAGAGCAATCAGGCAAGAAAAAGAAATAAAGGGTATTCAAATAGGAAAGGTGGAAGCCAAATTGTCTCTATTTGCAGACGACATGATAGTATACCTAGAAGACCCCATTGCCTCAGCCCAAAAACTCCTGAAACTCATAAACAATTTCAGCAAACTCTCAGGATATAAAATCAATGTGCAAAAATCACAAGCATTCGTCTACACCAATAACAGACTTAAAGAAAGCCAAATCAAGAGCGAACTGCCATTCGCAATTGCTACAAAAAGAATAAAATACCTTGGAATACAACTCACAAGGAACGTAAGGGACCTCTTCAAGGAGAACTACAAACCACTGCTCAACGAAATCAGAGAGGACACAAACAGATGGAGAAACATTCCATGTTCATGGTTAGGAAGAATTAATATCGTGAAAATGGCTATACTGCCCAAAGTAATTTACAGAATCAACGCTATCCCCATCAAGCTACCATTGACTTTCTTCACAGAACTGGAAAAAACCACCATGAACTTCATATGGAACCAAAAGAGAGCCCGCATAGCCAAGTCAATTCTAAGCAAAAAGAACACAGCGGGGGGCATCACACTACCGGATTTCAAACTATACTACAAGGCTACAGTAATCAAAACAGCATGGTACTGGTACCAAAACAGAGATATAGACCAATGGAACAAAACAGAGGCACCGGAGGCAACACAACATACATACAACTATACAATCTTTGATAAACCTGACAAAAACAAGCAATGGGGCAAGGATTCCATGTTTAACAAATGGTGTTGGGAAAACTGGCTGGCCATGTGCAGAAAGCAGAAACTGGACCCCTTCCTGACACCTTACACTAAAATTAACTCCAGATGGATTAAAGACTTAAACATAAGACCTGGCACCATAAAAACCCTAGAAGGAAATCTAGGCAAAACCATCCAGGACATAGGAGTAGGCAAGGACTTCATGAACAAAACACCAAAAGCATTGGCAACAAAAGCCAAAATAGACAAATGGGACCTAATCAAACTCCATAGCTTCTGCACGGCAAAAGAAACAGTCACTAGAGTCGATCAGCAACCAACAGAATGGGAAAAAATTTTCGCAGTCTACCCATCTGACAAAGGGCTGATATCCAGAATTTACAAATAACTCAAACAGATTTACAGGAAAAAAACAAACAAGCCCATTCAAAAGTGGGCAAAGGATATGAACAGATACTTTACGAAAGAAGACATATATGAGGCCAACAATCATATGAAAAAATGCTCATCGTCACTGGTCATCAGAGAGATGCAAATCAAAACCACATTGAGATACCATCTCACGCCAGTTAGAATGGCGATCATTAAAAAATCTGGAGACAACAGATGCTGGAGAGGATGTGGAGAAAAAGGAACACTTTTACACTGTTGGTGGGAGTGTAAATTAGTTCAACCATTGTGGAAGACAGTGTGGCGATTCCTCAAGGCCTTAGAAATAGAAATTCCATTTGACCCAGCAGTCCCATTACTGGGTATATATCCAAAAGACTATAAATCGTTCTACTATAAGGACACATGTACACGAATGTTCATTGCAGCACTGTTTACAATAGCAAAGACCTGGAATCAACCCAAATGCCCATTGATAATAGACTGGATTGGAAAAATGTGGCACATATACACCATGGAATATTATGCAGCAATCAGAAATGATGAGTTTGTGTCGTTTGTAGGGACATGGATGAATCTGGAGAACATCATCCTCAGAAAACTGACACAAGAACAGAAAATGAAACACCGCATATTCTCACTCATAGGTGGGTAATGAAAAATGAGAACACATGGACACAGAAAGGGGAGTACTAAACACTGGGGTCTATTGGGGGGAAAGGGGAGGGCCAGTGGGAGGGGGAGATGGGGAGGGATAGCCTGGGGAGAAATGCCAAATGTGGGTGAAGGGGAGAAGAAAAGCAAAGCACACTGCCATGTGTGTACCTATGCAACTGTCTTGCATGCTCTGCTCATGTACCCCAAAACCTATAATCCAATAAAAAATTTAAAAAAATAAAAAATAAAGTCTGTTTTGTCTAAAATTAAAAAAAAAAAAAAAAGAATGTTGAATATTGGCCCCCACTCTCTTCTGGCTTGTAGTGTTTCTGCCGAGAGATCTGCTGTGAGTCTGATGGGCTTCCCTTTGTGGGTGACCCGACCTTTCTCTCTGGCTGCCCTTAGTATTGTCTCCTTTATTTCAACCCTGTTGAATCTGACGATTATGTGCCTTGGGGTTGCTCTTCTTGCGGAATATCTTTGTGGTGTTCTCTGTATTTCCTGCAATTGAGTGTTGGCCTGTCTTGCTAGGTGGGGGAAATTTTCCTGGATGATGTCCTGAAGAGTATTTTTTAGCTTGGATTCATTCTCTTCGTCCCCTCCTGGTACACCTATCAAACGTAGGTTAGGTCTTTTCACATAGTCCCACATTTCTTGGAGACTTTGTTCATTCCTTTTTGTGCTTTTTTCTCTGATCTTGTTTTCTCGTTTTATTTCATTGAGTTGGTCTTCGACTTCAGATATTCTTTCTTCTGCTTGGTCAATTCGGCTATTGAAACTTGTGTTTGCTTCGCGAATTTCTCGTATTGTGTTTTTCAGCTCCTTTAATTCATTCATATTCCTCTCTAAGGTATCCATTCTTGTTATCATTTCCTCGAATCTTTTTTCAAATTTTTTTTCAAGGTTCTTAGTTTCTTTGCATTGATTTAATACATGATCTTTTAGGTCACAAAAGTTTCTCATTATCCATCTTCTGAAGTCTAATTCCGTCATTTCGTCACAGTCATTCTCTGTCCAGCTTTGCTCCCTTGCTGGTGAGGAGTTTTGGTCCTTTCTAGGAGGCGAGGAGTTCTGGTTTTGGGTGTTTTCCTCCTTTTTGCGCTGGTTTCTTCCCATCTTTGTGGATTTGTCCGCTGGTCGTCTGCGTAGTTGCTGAGTTTTCGTTTGGGTCTCTGAGTGGACACCCAGAATGTTGATGATGAAGTATTTCTGTTGCTTGGTTTTCCTTCTACCAGTCTAGCCCCTTCGCTGTATGACTGCTGAGGTCCGCTCCAGACCCTGCTTGTCTGGGGTGCACCTCTAGTAGCTGTGGCACAGCAACGGATGCTACCAGTTTCTTTTTCTGCTATCTTTGTCCCAGGATGATGCCTGCCTAATGTCAGTCTTTTGGATATAGAGGGGTCAGGGAGCTGCTTGAGGAGACAGTTTGTACTTTATAGGGGTTTAATTGCTGAGCTGTGCACTCTGTTGTTCATTCAGGGCTGTTAGGCTGCTATGTTTTATTCTGCCGCAACATAGCTTATTAAAAAAAAACCCCTTTTTTTTTTCTCAATTGCTCTGTGTTGAGGGGTTTGGGCTTTATTTTTGGATGTCCGATCAGGTGTCCTGCCCAGCTAGAAGGCAGACTAGCCACTGTTTGGCTGTCGAGGCTCCGCTCTGCTGTTGAGTGATTCGCGCTGTTCCTGCCGGCTCTGCTGTGGTCTCCGCCAAGCCCTGCTGCGGAGTCTCTTCGTTGTAGCGTGTTGCCTCAGCAACGGCAGGCTGCATCAGCAGTGGGCGTGTATCTCAGTAGGGACGGGTTGCCTCGGCAACGGCTGGCTGCCTCAGCAATGGGCGTGTATCTCAGTTGAGGCGGGTTGCCTCGGCAGCGGCTGGCTGCGTCAGCAGTGGGCGTGTATCTCAGTTGGGGTGGGTTGCCTCAGCAATGGCTGGCTGCGTCAGCAGTGGGCGAGTATCTCAGTTGGTGCGGGTTGCCTTGGTAGTGGTGGACGCCCCTCCCCCACAGAGCGTCTCGGACCGTCTGCTCGGGATAGTTTGAAATCGCGGTTTTGTTCGTCCCACTGGGTATCCCAATCCCTGCAATCCCCTGGGCTGGCCTACTGTCCAAGTCTCGTTCAGTCTCAAGTCCAGCCCTCTCAAGTCTCAGGTTGCCGGTTCAACAGGGCACCCGGACAAGCACGCCGTGTGGGGATTGCTGGGTAGGGCCGGCCGCCGCCGCCCCGGCTGCCGGCTTCGCCAGGCAGACCTACTGCCTGGCGTCCCGTGTCTTTTTTATACTTGGGAGTTTCCCCGTTCTGTGGGCAACAAAGATCAGTCTGGAAATGCCGCTCTGACTCACCGTTTGCGGATTCAACGAGAAGAGCTCCAATCCTGGGTTGTTCTCACAGCGCCATCTTGAGTCCTCCCCCCCGAGAAACTTTTTATTTTCCCCCCCGAGACTGAGTTTCGCTCTTGTTACCCAGGCTGGAGTGCAATGGCGTGATCTCAGCTCACTGCAACCTCCGCCTCCTGGGTTCAGGCAATTCTCCTGCCTCAACCTCCTGAGTAGCTGGGATTACAGGCACACGCCACCATGCCCAGCTAATTTTTTGTATTTTTAGTAGAGACGGGGTTTCACCATGTTGACCAGGATGGTCTCGATCTCTTGACCTTGTGATCCACCTGCCTCGGCCTCCCAAAGTGCTGGGATTACAGGCATGAGCCACCGCACCCGGCCCGAGAAACTTTAATTAACAAAGGTTTTGTGGAAATCCAAACTCATAAAATTATTTCAGCTGCCAGTGAAGGAAGAGCCAATGTTTTTACTGTGTCATTTTAAAAATAATGCATACCTGGCTCAGTCCCCACAACTGTATAAGCAAATGTGCATTTGTGCTGATTTTGAGAAGGTTTTCTGTATTGGACCAGTATTCAGAGCAGAAGACTCTAATACCCATAGACATCTAACTGAGTTTGTTGGTTTGGACATTGAAATGGCTTTTGATTACCATTACCACGAAGTTATGGAAGAAATTGCTGACACCATGGTACCAATATTTAAAGGACTTCAAGAAAGGTTTCAGACTGAAATTCAAATGGTGAATAAACAGTTCCCATGTGAGCCATTCAAATTTTTGGAGCCAACTCTAAGACGAGAATATTGTGAAGCATTGGCTATGCTTAGGGAAGCTGGAGCCGAAATGGGAGATGAAGATGATCTGAGTACACCAAATGAAAAGCTGTTGGGTCATTTGGTAAAGGAAACGTGTGATACGGATTTTTGTGTTCTTGATAAATATCCATTGGCTGTAATACCTTTCTACACCATGCCTGACCCGAGAAATCCTAAACAGTCCAACTCTTATGTTATGTTCATAAGAGGAGAAGAAATATTGGCAGGAGCTCAAAGAATACATGATCCTCAGCTGCCAACAGAGAGAGCTTTCCATCATGGAATTGATTTGGAGAAAATTAAGGCTTACATTGATTCCTTCTGCTTTGGAGCTCCTCCTCATGCTGGCGGAGGCATTGGGTTGGAACGAGTGACTATGCTGTTTCTGGGATTGCATAATGTTCGTCAGACCTCCATGTTCCCTCGTGATCCCAAACGACTCACTCCTTAAAGCCACACTTTGCCAGTGAACTCCAGTGTGGATGACAGAGCGCGGCCCTGCCTCAAAAAAAGAAAGCAAGCCACACTTACTCTTTCTAGTAATCTGCTATTGCACAGACTGTACTTTAGGTATTTAAAATATGCACTAGAATAAATTTGCAAGACCCTAAAGTATCACTGTTATTTTTGGAGTAATTCAGTATAGATTCGTTTAAAAGAGAGAAGATTTTTATAACTTCAGACACACATCAGTAGAAAATACTTGAGAAATTCATATGGTTATGTTAAAAATTCATATTCTGTTACTGCAGTAAATGTTAATAAGAGTTTTCAACAGTTAAGATTGTACAATTTTTTTCTTTATATTACAAGGGCCCCAGTGTTAATGTCTTAGATTTTCAGTATTTGAACTTATTTTTAAATTCTGACATTGAGATAAGAATAATTCAGGTAGTATCTGAAATTTTAATGAATGTGTAATTGGCATATCATGGAAAATTAGCCAGAAAGTAACAGTTCTTAAAAGTTATGCCTAGAAATTATGTAAAGCAGGTGAAAATGCTGGTTAGAAAGTATTCAGTGTAATATTGTATTAAATTGTTAAATTCTAAACTTGAATTTCAATAAAATTTTAAAGCAAAAAAAAAAAAAAAAAGAAATTACCATTGGCCAAATTTGGGGATAGTGTCAAAGAAGACGCACAATTACCTGAAAAGGCTCATGAAAGACCATTACGTTTTCCCACTACATGTTTGAGCCAAATTTTCTTCACATGCTTCAACCAAAATAATATGTAATAGTTTGAACACAGAGGCACATATGAAGATCTAGCTGCCTTGTATTAAAGAGATTTTCAAAAATGTAAAACAATACCACTCTTTCTTTTTTGTAACAGGATCCAGTTTATTCTGCCTTGACAGGGTGGTCCTGAGAGTGGCGGGTGCCGCCCTGTCCTGGGTGGAGGGAGGGCCCGAGGGCCAGTTAAGGCCAATGGCGGGAGAAGCAGGGGGGCTGCTGCCCAGGGAATGCACTGAAGCCAGGTCAAGGCCCGGAGGCAGCTGTGGTAGGCCGGGGCAGGGTGGAAGGCACTGGACTGGGACCGGGCCAGGGCTACAGGGCCACACGGGCATCCTGGGACGTGGGGCACAGGTTCACATGACACAGAACGTGAAACACAGGAACAGTGCTCACAGTAAGCACATGGACAAGTGGGCACAGGGTCACAGGCCAGATATACACCCAGCCATGGCTAGGCCAGACACTGGGGCACAGTGGTGGTGTCACAGACCACAGGGGGGACACGGCATTATGGGACACACAGATTTGATGGCCGCGATGCACAGACCAGGCCACAGAGCTCAAGGGACGTGGGAAGGGGCCTTTTGGCACTACTGCACTGGATTCACGTGAGACAAGGGTGGTGGGGCACTCCGGAGGGGCCTGGGGCGGTCCCCTTGTGGGTCTCCGAGTCTTCCACACTTTGTTGAACAGCTTCAACACCTCATCATAGATGATAAACACTATGGCCACATCCAGGCAGACCCGGCCCAGGCGGGGTACAGTGCCCTTGTAGAATGCCTTGAGCCCCTCCCTCCTCAGGATCTGCAAGCCACAGTCCCATGTGTTGCAGTATTTGTGCGCCTCCAGGCCCAGCATCTGGGTCTTAATCACGACCAGAGGAGTGTTTCCAAAGACACTGGCTGCGCCCGCAATAGTTGTGAACACTCCAGGAATCAGTGGGTTCATGGGCTTGTTGGGGTTGTCCCCTCTGTACCAGTTGCGCAGGGAGGTCATAACGAAGAAGCGGATGGCCTGGTTAGAGCCCTGCTTCAGCACGGTGGCTGAGGCCCTGGTACCTCCCCTTCAGTCCTTGTTCCTGCACAATCTCCCTAACCCCGTGGAAGAATCCTCTGTATTTGGGGTTTGGAGAGGTCTGGTCGTGGATGAACTTCACCTTGATGGTCTCCATGGGGCACACGACCACTACGGCCTCGGCCACGCCGGCACCCAGGCTGCACAGCAGCCTGCGCGTGCTGTCCAGTCGTCCCTGGGCATCTCGCATGTGGTTGCTGAGGAATACGAACATTCTGAACCTGACAGCCGCCTTGGGGATGGAGCCGTAGAGCAGGGAGCTTGAGGCCGCGGTACAGGCCCAGGACGTCATAGCTGCGGACCGTCTCCCGCACGCAGTCCCCGATGCCCCGGTACCGCGGCGGGTGCGAGCGCCCGTCCAGCTGTAGCTGCGTCTTCACGTACTCTGTGGGGAAGGTGATGCATATTTCGATGCCGCCCGCCAGGCCGCCTGCCAGGATCGCCTTCCCCGGGTGCGTCAGCTTGGCCTTCCGGGACGCGGGCGCGGCGGCCGCCAGAGCTCGGCCGCGGGGCGCGTCCACGGCGGGCGGCAGCGGGGGCGCCCGGTGGCAAACTCGGGTCCAAGCCTCCTGAACTCAGCGCTCGGTCTGGGGTGGCTGCGGCCACAATACTGCTCTTTATTAATTTTTTCTTATTTTGAAAAATAGAATTATTTTTGATGAAATCATATGCCAACATATAAGCTTATTGCTGTAATTTTTAACTTGATTAATTTTTAAATTACAAATAAAATTTTTATATATTTATTGCATAAGACATGTTGAAATGAGTGTATCTTCTAGAATGGCTATAGTTAATTAACATATACATTACCTCACACACTTATCATTTCCTGTGGTGAGAAAACTTAAAATCTACTCTCAGCAATTTTTTTCTTTTTTGAGTTGGAGTCTCACTCTGTTGACCAGGTTGGAGTGCAATGGGGCAATCTTGGTTCACTGCAACCTTCACCTCCCAGGTTCAAGCGATTCTCCTCCCTCAGCCTCCTGGGAGCTTGGATTACACGTACCTGCCACTATACCTGGCTAATTTTTGTATTTTTATAGAGATGGAGTTTCACCACATTGGCCAGGCAGATCTTGAACTCCTGACCTCAGGTGATCCACCTGCCTCAGCCTCCCAAAATGCTGAGATTTCAGGCATGAGCTCCCATGTCTGGCCTACTCTCAGAAATTTTAAAGAATACATTTTTATTAACTATAGTTACCACATTGTACAACAAAACTTTTAAACTTCTTGCTTCTGTCTACATGAAATTTTGTATCCTTTTATTAAATAAATAAATAAAACAATTGAACTCATAGAGCTAGAGAGTAAAATGACAGATCTCCTCCTACAGAGGCTGGGAAGGATAGTGAGGTTGGTGAGTGGACATGGTTAATGGGTACAAAAATACAGTTAAATGAATAAGATCTAGTATTTGAGAGCACAACAGGGTGACTGCCGTCAATAATAATTTATTGTACATTTTTAAATAACTAAAAGTAAAATTGGATTGTTTGTAACACAAAGAAAGGATAAATGCTTGAGGATATGGATACCCGATTTACCCTGATGTGATGATTACACATTATATGCCTGTATCGAAATGTCTCACGTATCCCTTAAATATATACACTTGCTATGTACCCACAAAAATTAAAAATTAAGAAAAAAACAGTCCAAAGCCAGGCACGGTGGCTCACACCTGCAATCCTAGCACTTTGAGAGGCCAAGGCATGAGGATCACTTGAGGCCAGGAGTTCAGGACCAATCTGGACAACATAGGAAGGCCCTGTCTCTACCAAAAAAAAAAAAATTAAAAAACTAGCCAGGTATGATGGCATACACTTATAGTACCAGCTACTCTGGAGGCTGAGGTAAGAGGATCGCTTAGTCCAAGAGGTTGAGGCTGCAGTGAGCCATAATCATGCTGCTGCATTCCAGCCTGGGTGGCAGAGCAAGACTCCTCTGCATAAAAAGGTAAAATTGAAAAACATAACAGGCCCAAGGAAGAAAAGAAAGCTATGATAGAGCCAGTGTATGTATGGGAATAATAAATCCCCACAAATTAAACTGAAACTGATTATTAATATATGGTGTTGGGAAAATTGGCTTACTAGATTAATAAAAATAAAAGATGGCTTCATAGCTGAATTCTGCAAACATTTAAAGAACTAATACCAATCCTTCCAAATTCTTCCAGAAAAAATGAACATTTCTTTAAAACTAATTTTACTTTTTATTTTTGAGACAGAGTCTGGCTCTGTCACCAGGAAGGAATGCAGTGGCATGATCTCGGCTGACTGCAATCTTTGCCTCTCAAGTTCAAGCAATTCTCCTGCCTCAGCCTCCTGAGTAGCTGGGACTACAGGCACCCACCACCACATCCAGCTAATTTTTGTATTTTTAGTAGAGATGGGGTTTCACCAAATTGGTCAGGCTGGTCTCGAACTTCTGATCTTGTGATCTGCTCTCCAACTCCTGACCTTGTGATCTGCTCTCCTCGACTTCCCAAAGTGCTGGGATTACAGGTGTGAGTCACTGAGCCCAGCCCTCAAAACTCATTTAATGAGGCCAACATTACTGTAATATAAAATTTAGAGAAAGACACTACAAGGAAAGGAAACTACAGGCCAATATTGCTGATGCATATAGATATAAACATCCTCAAAAAATAAACTAGCAAACTTTGTTTACCAGAACATTAAAAGGATCATTCACCGTGATCAAGTGCAACTTATTCTTGGGAGGCAAGGTTAGGATGTGCAGATTAATAAATGTGATTCACCATATTAACAGAATGAAGGATCTGTCACAATTCAATATTCTTTCATGACAAAAAAACTCAATGAATTAAGTATAACAAGAATGTTTTTCAACACCATGTGGGCCATATATGACAATCCCCCAGCTAATGTTGTACTCAGTGGTGAAAAAAAACATCAAGACCAGGACGCCCACAAGACAGTCTCACCACTGCTGCTCATGATAGTACTGGAAGCCCTAGCAAGAGCAACTGGGCAAAAGAAAGAAATAAAAGGAATACACATGGAGAAGAATGAAGTGAAATCATTTCTGTTTTCTGAAGACATAGTTTTATATACAGACAATCCTAAAGATTCCACCAAAAACTACTAGAACTTACAAACAAATTCAGTAAATTTGCAGGACACGAAAATAGCTAACAAAAATCAATGGCATTTCTATACGCTAACAACAGACTGTCTGAAAAAGAAATTAAGAAAACAATTCCATTTACAATAGCATCCAAAAATGAAATATTTTAACCAAAGAAGTCAACGACCTGTATGTGGAAAACTATAAACATTAATAAAAAGTGATAGGAGATGACACTAATAAATGGAAAGATATCTCATGTTCATGGATTTGAAGAGTTTATATTATTAAATGTTCATATTCCCCAAACAATGTGCAGATTTAATGTAATTTCTATTAAAATTCTAATGTCATTCTTCACAAAAATTGAAAAAATATCCTAAAATTTGTATTGGAACTACAAAAGATTCCAAATAACCAAACCAAGCTTGACCAAACAAACAAAACAAAGGTGGAGGCATCACATCACAGGATTTAAAAATCTGTTACAAAGCTATAGCAATCAAATAGCATGAAACTGGCATAAAAACAGATATACCAGCCAATAGAATAGAATAGGAAGCATGCAAATAAACCCACACAGTAAACCAATTTTTGAAAAAGGTGCCAAGAACGCACAATGAGAGAAGAAAAATCTCTTCAATAAATTGGCAAACTGAATATCAACAGA